CAAAGCCTGTCTCCTCTCTGCCTTAAGCTGTGGCCCAGCAGTGAATTTTTCTCTAAGTAACAACTTCCCTGCCATTCATAAAATTTGATCTTTGCCATTTTGACCTGTGCTGACACCTAAATGCATATTTTAATTTTGCATTTTCTTCCTTGCCTTATGAGTAATTAAAAGAATGCTTTGCATATCCCCAAAAATGTAGGCCAGGAGATGCTCGGAGCCAGTGCAAGAGTCCTGCAGGACCCCGGGCCTGCGCTGTTCTGAGCTGTCCTCCCTGTGACTGCAGCTCAGTTGCACTGTACTGGCCTCCACAGGGCACTGTGTGGGGCTAGATCCACTCTATCCCAGGTTATGTCCTTCTCCACACACCCTGGGCTCAGGGAAATTCTAGTTAGCAGGGGCAACCACGAATCATCAAATGGGAGAGCCAACAGCACAGAGCGGGAAACCATACCAGAGAGGAAAAGTGGCTTCCCCACCTGGTATCCGCCCTCCCCTACACCATTTGCAATTTCAGCTGCTGCACAGCTGCAGGTGTCTGGAGGCAAGCATGTCACCTTCCCCCGGATGCCAGCCGTGAGCCCTCTCCAGTCATTCTCAACACTGCCAGGGGGTCTCACTGGGTCCTGGCCTACAGATCTGCTTCTCATTATGGTCCACAAGCCTTGTTCCCTGATCCCTGCCCCTCACTCCAGGCTCATTGCACAGTGAGCTCCTTCTAATGTGTGTCGTGGTCCACTGCTCCTGACTCACAAGAACCAACTGGTAAATGAACATCCGGGAATTTGTTGATGGCTGAAAATCAGCTGTGCTGGAAACAGACTAGGCCAGGAAAATCAGTGAGTGCTACAAATCAGACTCTCTCTCTCTCTCTCTCTCTCTCTCTCTCTCTCTCTCTCTCTCTCCCCCCTTCCTCCTTCTCTCCCCCTCCCCCTCCTGTCCAACCTCCCCTCCCCCTCCTTTCCCCCCTCCCCCTTCCCCTTCCCCTCCCCCTCCTCTTCCCCTCCCACTCTCCATCTCCCTCCCCTCCCTCTCCCCTCTCTTCCTCTCCTTCCCTCCCTCCTGCCCTCTCACACATCAGTCCACTGCTAGCCCAGGCCCCAGGTGCCACACTGTCACAGGATCCCTGCTCATGCTTCACCCAGCCTGGCACATGCTATCCTCTTCACTGCAGAGGTAACTCCACTCTTTAGCTCTAGGCTCAGTGTTCCCTTCTGGGAAAGCTTCCTTGATGTCTCTGAATAAGGTCCAACCCCAACTATAAACCTTGGCCTCTGAGCTTGTACCACAGTGGAAACTCCACAGTAGATGGACGGTTATTGTCCATCCACCCCTGGGAATGTGAACTCGCCATGGCTTGGCTGTGCTCCCTGCCGGGCACTGCGCCTGGTGGTAGGAGCTCATAACATCTGTGGATGAAGGAGTGACTTAGAGGAATAAGCACAAGACAATGAGGTCCATGTACTGTTTTCCGCAGTGGAGGCCACCCATGTTCATATACCTACCATCCCCAGCCTTCCTGCTTTTCTGTTGCTCCTGTTAATAGCTCTGACCCTTAGAATGCAGAAGCATCCTGTCCCCACTCACAGAGTCACCTGCCCCTCCTTGACTTAAAAGGAAGATGCCCTTTTACTGAGCTCATTTCTGAGACTTTGAGCTCGTTTGTTGCTACAGCAGAACCTAGTCTGCCCTGACCTACAATCCCAACACCACTCTGACCTTCATTCCCTCTACCCTTGAGAAAAGACACGATTTCTCTGGGCCTCAGTTTCCTTATTGGTAAAAAGAAGGGATTCTATAGAATGACCTCTGAAATCTTTCGAGTGCTGAAATTCAGGCGGCGCTCCTCCTGCCTGTCTTCCTCCCTCCTGGGGCTCTCTGCAGACCACAGATGTTTGCTAAGCAGGAGGTTCTTATTAGGTGGGTCCTGCACCACAGCGACATTTCGGTAAATGACAGACAGTGGAGGCAGCGGTGGGCCTGTGAGATTACAGTGGAGCTCATGTGACACCCACAGCACAATGCATTCCTGTGTGTCTGAAGCAGTGCTGGTATCCACAAACCTTGTGCGCTGCCAGCCACACACAAGTATTGTGTGTACTGCTACTTACAGAACCTCAGCGCGGAGAATAACTATCCAGCAGTTTCTGTATTTACTGTGCTACACATTTTAATCATTATTTCAGAGTGCGCTCCTTCTGCGCATGAAATAAAAGTTCGCTGTACCGTTGTGTGCTGGGTCACACTGGCTGCAGCCTCATCAGTTTGGCGGTTGCTGTGTCGGAGGCCACGGCGCATGCCTGACCTCTGCCACGTAGGTGTGCGTATGTGCTACACAGCCCTGGCTGCCCCATGGTGCAGACTCAGCATACATGCCCTGTATTTAAGAGATGCTTAACAGTGCTTCAAATCCTTTCTCCCAGGGAAAAGCATTTAGAATTTGAAACTCACATTGATGCCTCAGAGTACTTAAATACCCAGCAACGCAATATTGATCAGAATATCAATGACGACATTTCATCCGGAGGCTGGGGCACCCTCGGGGATCCCTCCTTCGGCCTTGTGTTGTGCCCTTGACTGTCCTTGGAGCCTGGCAGCCCCAGAGTTCCCAATTACTGCCGGCCTCATCCTTGGAAGCCGTCTAACCATTGTCCTTCGTTGGCTCTGTCAGCTGCTTGCCTCAGAAGGCACGGTCTCATTTTTCAAAGGAACTCAGTGATGCCCTTAGAAAGCTGTCATTAAAGCCACCGTCCACATAGCTGTAGCAAGAAGCCAAAGCCAGTTCTTTGATGAGCTGCGTGAGGATGTCTGGTTGGATGTGAAAGAAGGGAGAAGCAGGCTCTTTTTCCTGGGCTGGGGTCCCTCTTCCTGTTATAAATGAAGGTCACTGCAGCTGCTTGCTTCCCAGTAACCATAGTAACGATGGGCCACATGACAGGTGTCTGATCTCCATCACATTTCCTGCTATTAAGTGGTCTTCATCCTGCCTTCCACCCCACCCTGGATCCTGTTTAAATTGGTGGCACTCAGGGCCTCCCAGGGGAGTAGCTCAGGCTTAGGAGACTTGGAGCTGACAGCATTAATTAAACCTTTTATTTCCCTAGAACATTTTGTAATGTTGGACCCAGGAGCCAAGAAAACCTCCCCAGGAAGCTCCGATGAGAGAGATTGCTAAACCTATTGCCAGGGATTGAGGTAGTTCAGCTCCACAGCTGGCAGCAACGGGACTCGGGGGGAATTAAGCCTGGTATACAGCAGGCACAAAATCAATACTTGCTGAGGACTCAGCCTAATGAAATGGAGCCCACATAGCAGATGAGAACCCATCCAAGCTGTGGCAACTCCAACAGGAATTGATATATAATGGGGGCATTCAGCGGTTATTAGGTGCCTACTGTATGCACCCAATAATGAAGGCAGGATACACTAAAGGTATCAGCTTGTTGAATGAATCCCAGCTTGCTGGGAACAACTGAAGTTCGTGGCCATGTTGGGAAGTGTGTGGAGTCTGGAGGGCTTCACAGGGATCAAGTTACAAGGGGCTGGGGATCAAAATTACCCCTGGGCTTTATCCCAGGGCCATGGAAGATCACATGCACAGACAGGAACAGCTTTGCATTTCAGATACACCCTTTTTGATGTCCTGAAAGGAAAAGATCAGAGACGGACTCTGGCTCTGACCAAAGGAACTTCTGAGCCCAGTTCCGAAGAGTTCTGTCTTCATTCCCCTCGGAGCCTGGCTATGACGCCGTGTGATGCTCCTGCTAGCCAGGTAGGCCCAGTGGAGGAGTGCCAAAGTGCGCAATGACTGTCTTGCTGCCTTTCCTGTGGCAGTGGCCACCAACAGCTGGCCCTGTGAGGGAGCCATTGGATGCCCAGCTCAGTGGGACCCCAGATGGTTGCAACCCCAGAGGGAATAGCACTGAATACCACCCAGCTGAGGCCAGCCACCCCACAAAACCAGGGTAAGTTAGGAAAAGTGTTGTAAGCCACTCAGCCATCGATGAGTTTTATTCAGGCACCAGTAACTGAAATCCTGGAGTGGGGCAGGATTCAAGTCTAGCTGGAGACACCTTGGGCTGAGTCCTCACTGGTTTCCCAAGAGTCTGTGGATGAAATCCTGACAGCCTTCCTCACTAGAGTCCAGCCCACCTGGAGGGCAGCCAGCTTAGCCGATATTTGCTGACTCGAACTCCGCTCTTAATGGAGAATGCAGCGAACACTGTAGTCTTGATCCAAGACAGCCCTCCCCGCACCTGCAATTTAATTTCCCCGAACACTGAGCATGCTTTTATTCTAAATCAAGCGCGTCTCCTCGCTGCTGCATCGGATGCTCTCCATCCCCTCAGATGAGTCCTTTGGAGTGCGGGCTTCAGCTTAGGTTCCATATGACTGTGTTCCTAGCTGCCCCTGAGCCCAGCATCCTCATCTACACATGGGATGAGAATTTCCTTCAGACCAAATGAGACAATAAAGGTGACTGGTAAAGTCAAACTCAGGCAGGATATAGATGTAAATGGATGCGCTGTAGTGCTGTTTACCAGGACACTGGATTGTCCCAAGCAGGTCTCCCTGAAGGAAGCCTCCTCTGTAGGTGAGTAGGGCATCTGCAGCTCCACCCGTTTGCAAAGCTCAGAGGGAACTAGTTTGACAGCTTGTTTGCCAGGCTCTGGGGGAGAAACAGGGGAGGTGAGCAAAGGGTTAACAGCCTGGTAAAGTGGCAGGCATGGGTCTGTGCCCTCCTGGTGCCCAGCTGCTCCTGCAGGCACACAGAGCAATCCTAAGTGAGGCTCCAGCCCTTGGCAGGCTGGGCTCCTGTTGGGGTGGGGGTCCAGTCACATGTTGCTGTTTGACGTGGCTCCCGGGTCAGCCTCCTGTCTGACGTCCTCCTTGTCTCTGCCTCCTCCCCGCCCCTCTGGCTCACTGATCGGCGGGCGGCAGAGGGAGAGCTGCCTGGCCAGGGAGGCGGCTGGAGGCGGTAGGAAGAGCCCGTTGTAGGAACAGGCACCATGGTGCTCTCTGTGCCTGTGATTGCGCTGGGCGCCACGCTGGGCACAGCCACCAGCATTCTCGCGCTGTGCGGGGTCACCTGTTTGTGCCGGCACATGCACCCCAAGAAGGGACTACTGCAGCGGGACCGAGAGCCGGACCCTGAGAAGGCGAGACCTGGGGTGCTACAGCCTGCCCAACAGGTGAGCGGTCCAGGTTGCAGAGACACCTGGAGATGGCGCCTCTCCCTGGCGTGACAGGGTTTGGCAGGGACAGAGACAGGATATGCTCAAGAGGAGCTGGGAGGGCCAAAGGGGTGGGGGCTGGGAGAGGAGTGGGCCGGCAGCAAGGGCAAAGGGGGGAGCAGTGGGGACCTTGGGTGGGAGTGGGGGCAGGGAAGGGAGTGTGGGGCCCGCACGGGGAAGCTGTGAGGGGACGGGGCTGGGAGGGATGCTGGAAGAGTCTGAGGGGGGCTGCGGCTTAGGGCAGTAGGCTGGAGACAGGGTCTGTGGAAACGGTGAGGTTTGCAGGACCAGGGGCAGGTGGCAAGTGGGGTCCAGGAGTGGGAGAAGGACAGTGGTGAGGCTGAGGACAAAACCAGAGCTCGTTCCTCCCACCCTGTGGGCTGCCCCCAACTGGAGAGCCCTGTGCAAAAGCCAGGTGTGGCTGGGGTCTGCAGAAGCCTCTGAATGGGGGGACTGCAAAAGACCCTCCCCACCCTGAGCAGCCCTCAGCTCCGAAATGCTTCTGAAGCAGTTCCTGGAGACAGGAGAGCTTTTATTCATGTATTTGCTCATCCCCCGGCCTCTTTGGGCAGGAAAAGGGCCATGTACCCTCAGCCCACGGCAGCAGCAGAGTCTGGGAGGGGTCCGGGAGGTGTCCTACATCAGCTGTGGTCTCCAGCATGGCTTCTCACGTGGCCTGCAGTGTCCCTGAGGAGACCACCAAAAGGTCTTGCCAGAGGGCTTAGAGAAAGGGGGGCTCCTTAAATGACCTCCTCCGCCTGTCTCCAGATTCCTCAGAGGGCTTGCAGTTCTGGGAGTGGTGCTGAAATCCGAGGGTCCATCTTCCTCCTTCTGATCAATTATTCACACGCTTCCAGGACCCAGCTGTGTGGGCCTGTGTTGGTCACCTGATAGCACTAGTAGCAGGGGAATGGCTGCTGTCCTTGAGGCACTCAGAATCCAAGCCAAGTGACATTGACACTGGTGAACAGGCACTGGGGTGTCATGCTCGAGGGGTCCGGGAATGGCACCAGTGGGAGCCCACTGGCCGTAATAGAATGGGTTCTTACCTGGAAGTTGGGACCAACTCTCCTGCTCAAGGGACACTCTAATGGCTGTTTTTCAGGGTGGCTCTCCAGACACTGTCCTCCCTTCCCAGGGAGAACTGCTAGGGATACCGCAGGTGGGAACGCCTCCCAGCCGAGTGGACCCCTCCCACCTCCATCTCACTGACAACCAGTAGCCCACACAGGGCTGATCATCTGTTCAAACTGCACCAGACTGTCTGTCCCCTGCTTCAGGCCCCCACAGCATCTCAGCCGAGTAAGCCAAGGCATTGGCACCGTGCTGGGCCAGGCACTGTTCTTCATGTGCCCACAAATGCAACGAAGAACTCAGCAAAGTAGCGTGTGCTGATCTGACCTAACGATTAGGAAGCAGAAGCTCACAGAGGGACCGAGGCTGCAGGGAGAAGTTTCAGAGCCCAACTCTAGCGAGCTGGGCTGATTTGGGCATCTGTGTCGTAGCTTCACCACTCCACTCCCTCACCTGCCTGATGCATCTCTGATGTCCCCAGGATGTCCCCCTTGTTCCTCAGTCTCGGGTCTCCTGGATTTACGAGCATTATGATGATACACTGTGCCCTTTCTGCCCCATTTACTTTTATGCAGGCTTCTCACACAGGTGGCTGCTTGTCACCCTCTAGGCCTCTTGCCTACTGACCTGGGGCGTGAGGAATCCCCATGACCCTTTTCCTTGTTGTACCTTCCTGGTTCTTTCACAGCACTTGTTACAATGGGACTGGGGTTTCAGATTTTCCTACTTGGATAAAATTGATTCCCAGGGGCCAGGGAGATGGCTCAGTGGAATAAGCGCTTCCTTGGCAAGCACAAGGGACTGAGTTCAATCCCCGGTTCCGCCGGAAAAAAAAAAAAAAAAAAAAAAAAAGATTCCCACCTCCTGAAACTAGTAGGTGTCCAATAAGAAACTGTTGACAAAGGTGCCCCAGCAGCCTGCTGCCTAGGGTGATGTCTGGATTCCTTCTTCACATGTGGCCACCTGCACTGGGCCTTTGTAACCCATTTTGCTCACTCTGTAGGGACCTGATAAGTGCTCGTTGGTACATGGTACCTGTCCCTCCATATGTCCTCCCCTGTTTCCCTTGGGGACACAGAATCAGGCAGCCCAGCACTGAATCAATAGGTGTGAATATGGTGACCCTGATTTATCCGAGTGGCTTGGTTGCCACTGTACTCAGCCGCTGACCCAGATCAAGTACATAAAGAAAAGAAAAAAACAGTCAAAGTCCAAGAAAGCCCACAAGGTGGTGTGCAAGGTGGCTGGTAGCTGGGTGGCAGGTGACAGCACTGCAATGTGACAGGCACGTGTGGACAAGGAGGGCCAGATTCAGGAAGGCTCTCTGCTGCTGTGCCCAGAGAGGAGGCGGTGCAGGTGGGAAGTGGGGTCTCTAGTCCCATGGCCCCAGTAGAGGTTTCTGATCAGTGCCCCTGGAAATGGACATCTGCAAGGTTCCAACTCAGATGTGTCTTCAGGTATCTCGGGTTCCCTTGCTGGAAACATCCCTTCCACTCGCTCACAGGCTGAGCCCAGAGGTCTCATTTCTGATCCAGAAACTGACATGCCTAGGGATTCTGAGAAGAACCCGGAGGAATTTTCTAAGGGCTCCTTACCCACCAGGGGGTCTGGACGTTGAGTTTAGCAGGCTTGTGATGTTGGCTAGGGAAAGCTGCACCTCTGTTCCCGATCCTCTCAGCAGGTGGTGAACATAGTCGGAAGATCGCCAGTTCCACCCCAGCCTGGGTGACCGAGCAAATTATCAGGAACCTGTGTCCAAATTCTAAAGAGACTGGGAATGTAGTTCAGTGCAAATGCCCTGAGTTCAGTCTCCACTACTACCAAAGAAAAGAAAGAATATAAACAGGAAGTAACAGTAACATTATTAATCCCTGTGACCTTGCCCCCACGGGAAATCATAGATGGTTCTGGAACAACTAGAGATGCTACAGCTACTTTCCAGGATCACTGGTGCTCATCCATCATTCTAAATTATGGGGTTTAATAAAGTCCCCACTAGGTCCTGGCAGCGAATGCACTCATAAAGAAGCACACCATGTAGCTGTTTTGCAAGTCAATGTCATTACATATTCCTCTGTAGTGTTCCATCTTTCATTTTCTGCTTTCTCAAGCATTCAGAGAATTTCTCTAGA